CATCACAATTGATGATTTCTGAGAATGATTCCATGACTAGAGTAGCTTAACCCACGAAAATGTTTGGTTGATCGAATCGTCCAGCAACTTTATCTTCTTAACTGAATCAACCGCAATATGTAATGGTATCTCACAGATCCAACAAATAAATGCAGTGATTCACACTACAGCTATTCAAGTGAAAAGTATTATGTATTTTTAGAACCATTTCATTATTCAAAATTCCCATCTTTGGATTATTCACTATCAGAGTTTTAGTTACTTCCGCCAGCATTTGAACTGCATTTGAAAGATGACTGAATCTCCATCAAGTTCATCCAGTTTTTTCGTTGATTAAGCACCTTTCCAGCCACAGAACTTTATGAGATTCATGATCNCACGTCAACAGACCATATTCTGCGTTACTGGTTATTGCTCAGCTGGGTTTATTCTTGTTCAAAGGTTCGCATTCAATCATTTGTTGTGAATTTATCCATTTGGAGGCATCATGATTGCTCGTTTATTGTAACAAAACTTATTCGATCACCAAACCTCTACCAAACATCCAGTGCCCGATTAATTTCAGTTTCAATTCTACCTTATCCGAATCATGTGAAGATCTGCGAGCTACTTATCATTCTTCTCTTCGCTCCAATTGAAGCATTTCGTATCTTTTGGGGTACGTTTTGCATTGATACTATTTTGAAAATTTGTGAACTTGTGATCTACACTTCGTGCTAATTCAACACGTTTAGAAATCCTCTCAATCAAACGTTTTCTATATCAATTCATTCAATTCAAAATATTTCCTTCAACGTTGATGAAGGGTTCATTTATAATTATGCGAACTAAATTAAAGAATAACCATCGATGAGCTACTCGTCCATCTTTTTGTTCTGTTGAGAAACTTTTCAAATTTCAGCTCGTAAAGGCAATCTAACCGAAACACCGGCATTTATATCGTTCTCGTTGTTACTCGGTGCTGCGGCAATCGCTGTTTGCGTTTATTGGGCTGTCTTTCAAAGTTATGTTTTGCTGATTGAATTCATCATTGTTTGCGTCGAAGGAGCACTTTTGATAATGGAGACTCTGCTTGGAATCATCACTATTGCCATACTTTCAAGGTATTTTATCATTTGAATTACTTGTCAAGAGGGCAGTGTTTTGAGCGATGACATTCATCGATAGCCTGCTGACGTGAGAGTGTGGAACCAACACAGTTGCTTACAGTATCACGATGACTTGCTTGTTTGAAATTTTTGTGCAGAATCACCTGTCGCTAGTGGTTGAGTGCCGCAGTGTTCACTATAAACTCAAAACTATTCCATCAGGAATTTTGCCACTTTCTCGAATAATTCCTTTTCAAACAGTGACACATATCCAAAAGTGGAAATCATCCTTCAGTTGTGTTAGAATGAATAAGTGAAAAATCAAAAAAAAACTAAACAAGAAATTCAAATGATATTGACAACGGCGTAGAACTTATTTGTGAGATTCTCAGCGCTGACGGCAAAAATTGTTTTGATGGGGAAGGCAAAATTGTTTTTAGAAGCTGCGAATGTTGTTCTGGAGATATAGCATGTGTTTTCAGGCCTGTTTCGATGTGAGCAGTGTTCACGAGAAACAATTGGATGCCACTTCATGGCTACAGATTAGGTGATTTGCGTTGCGGTGATCAACTACTCACTGATACTTTATCGAAGAATAAATTGCTTCATGCATTGCATTAATCAGTGTACTTGAATCTTTTGGCACATTCCAGTAGCAGTAACCACAATAATGACTATCACAAACTGATGAAGTTGGTAATAAGCGTGTGCTAATGCTCCCAATCAGCTATCAGAGTAACTCACATCATGTTCAGCGAAAATTTTTCACAATCGGTTGTGTTTGTGTCCTCACCAACAGACAATTTGGTTGCAGCTTACTCATTGGAAGTGATGTGTTTACCTGCACTCCCACACTGCATAAACTTTCCGATCTAACAGCAGCACATATCTGTCATGGATTCCACAGATCCTATTGTCTTACCGTATTCATGCTTGATTTAACTGTTGATCTGGTTTCAATGAATGCTCCTCTGTTTGAAACGCTTCAACGAAAGATGTTGAAACGAGCGATTGCATCAGGAGTTCGTTCACAATGTCGATGCCCTCTGAATGTATGAAGAATCAAACGATCACATCACATTATTGCTTCGATTATGATGAGCTGAGAAACGGTCGAATCAAACACAGCATTTATAATATAGTGTGTGATTGATAATTTGGATGAATGAATTGTTGAACAAGAAAAACACACATATAACTATTTATAGTACAAAACGTTGAGCAATTATAATACATCAACAATAGTAATAACAACAATGGAAATGCATGAGATGAGTACGGACAGTTCGTTATCTTCAAACTGAAATCAAACAATTAGGGCATTGCCAGTTGAGTTGTCAGTTAACTGAAGCCGATCGATCACTTATTCATTTTCATCGCAAACCTTCTGAATCCATATTTTACAAGAATAGAATTTGCTCTGGTGGGAAAAATAACCTATGATTCCGTTCAAGATGGTTATGGTCAATTGGCGATGAAAGACCTCCGATTCGCTGTCTTCACGCTTCATACCGAACCAATGCTGCAGAGGGGCAGGTCTTGGATTGACTGGAGCCAGATCATTTGCAAATTGTTTGAGACGATGTGGAAAACGTTTAAATTCATTCTAGATTACTTTATGAAACGAAACAAAGTGCGGTAATTGAACGATGCAAAGATTCAGCCCCATCTAGGACACAACATTTGGATCGTTCAGCCTTGATTGCTGCTCTGATGGTGGCTTGAATTGTCACTTGAAACCGAAAGTCGCAGAGAAGATATCAGCGAATTCAGAGGTGAAGAAACAGTGACGAGCGTCGTAATGAAATAAATCACTACATATCAAATAAACAATAAATACAGATTGTATTATTACTGCAAACATGTTGGCCCTTATCAACTACAAAATATTTTGGTTCATGAAAATATTTCTGATACGGAGCTCTCCTGAGTTCATGAAGATGCCATGAGGATTCCTCTTGAAGTTAGTTACACCAAAAACTGCGAAACACCGAAAAGAATGTTATTTCAGTATTATCAACTGAAACACTGGGAACGATAATGCGAACACATGACTATCACTATTTTATAGACGTAATATTCCAGTTCTCAACGAGAGTAAGTGTAGGGATAGGGAATCTGATCAAACTCATTAAACTTGCTGATAGTCTAAACTATGACAAGATCTCGTTTCTGCTATCTAAAGGAGACTCGCTGTTGATGATGAATTCAAAGTGTAACATCGAAACGGTCAAGAGAGCAGCGACAATTTCATTCTTCATACATACAATAGCGTCATCGAAAATTCACATCAGAATTTACAATTGAGCATTAGGATTGCATGTTATAACGGTTGTCTCCTTATGCACATCATAATTACACGATAATTTCGCTTGGTGTGGATCGTTTCGGTGGAGATCCTGAGCCGTTTTCGATCCTCGCAATCGACATCTTCTTTGAGCCGATTGCCGCCGGTGTTCTCAAGAACTCGAAATAACCCTTTAACGCAAAACCATATTATAGCAAGGCTGTTCTTATGACAGTGTCAATGGCGTTGTATCAATTAATTCAGTGAAAATAATGTAATCATTTGTAGTTGTCGTAAACAATTCATTACGATCGGATCGTTTCAATTTCATACGTTGAAAAGCTCTTCTAAAGCCGAACGGTGGAACATTAAATTAACGTGATGTTCTCGTATAAATCAAGAGATGAGTGTAATCAATGTTTGACTCGTCTCTGAAACTGAGTCTCAGAGACGATTGTTATTGGATAGTTTAAGGTGGTAGCAGCTATAAATCACGGTAAGAGAGTATTTTGAAGATCAAGCTGACAATAACATAACAAGGCAATAAATTCAAAATGGTTACGGACTAGAAAGCGATATTTCAATAAGTGAGTTTAAAAGAACCCACTTGCTGATTTTCGATATCAATAGGAATTGGTGGTAACGAGTATTTGGGATGAAGATAATCGTTGAGAGGAGGTTGTTTCTCGCTGTAAACTGAATACTTCCTCTCGAGTTCATCAGATAAGTCGAAACCGCGATGCAAATAATCCAATGAAACACTGCAACAAACAAGAATTGATCTTCAACAAGTCGATTTGGCTTGAAATACCTCAATGCAATTGTTTTTTGATTTTTTTAGATCATAAACCTGAAAGCAGTCATAAAGAAGTGCAGTAATTAATACTTAATTAGGGGAATCAATCAACGCATGCTTGCAAATGAATCCATATAGGAGTGAATTTCATTGTCACGAGAGTCAANTAATCCAATGAAACACTGCAACAAACAAGAATTGATCTTCAACAAGTCAATTTGGCTTGAAATACCTCAATGCAATTGTTATTTGATTTTTTTAGATCATAACTTGAAAGCAGTCATAAAGAAGCGTAGTAATTAATACTTAATCAGGGGAATGAATCAACGCATGCTTGCAAATGAATCCATATAGGAGTGAATTTCATTGTCACGAGAGTCAATGCATTTATCGTTTTATTAGTGATAACTGATAGTGTCTTCTTCGATTACGTGATATTCTTAACAAAATTTTCCAAACGTTCCTCTCAACTGGGATGAGTTCATCAATTGCATCCATCCACTTCGTCTTATTCTCATCGATATCACAGCTACAACTGTGACAAATTGCTTGCAAGGTTCAAATCACACAAAGGACCCATCCATTCGTTCACCAGCATAACGTTGAATTTCAGTTTCATTTCAACGCTGTGGTCACTCATCAATCAGTGTTTAATTACACCGAATAACAACTGTGCAACAGAAACAATAAAAAGAGGACGTGATGAAAGCTCTTAGATTTCAGTCTATACAATCAAAACAACGTGTTTGTCAATAAAGTTTGCAGTTTTTGCAAATTATCTATTCAAGCAGTGAAATCAACTTGCATGAATGTATTTTCTCATGAAAGCATCGTAAATATCCCATCCGTTCGATCAGTTTCCCTTGATATTGCATCGGTCTTTCAAATAGAAACCATTCACATCATGCTTTATTATTGATTCGAGCGCCTAAAGCTTAACTGCTTCTTCATCAGTTTGTTGTTCCTTGTTCATTGCATAAGCCTCTCCTCATTTTTTGCTCATCCATGTGCAGCATTCTCATTCAGCATTCTATTTAATTTCGCATTCAAAAACTCATTTATATGATTATGCATGCATGCAAAACAGCAATCATTAAGGCACATTTTCATTGCGTATTTTTGCATTCAATCACCCGTCCAACACATTCACCTACTCGCAAACAATGATTAGTGATTGTTTTGCCGATGAAAAGAGATGATCATTTTGTTCAATCCTACGATCCTATGAGCACCAACAAAGCGATTAATCAGAAGTTTTTCGTTAGCTTGTGGGACGAAACTTTATCTCTTTCATTATCGGTGAGATGGTGCAGTGCGCATTAAGCGGACTCAAATCTAGATACAGACCTAGACTCAAGCACACAACGTTTACTTTTGATACGCTTTATTGCGAAATACAAAACCACAACATGTACACAACACTTTATAATCTGTGGTGTGGTGCTATGGTTGACTGAATCAAATGATTGAATAAGAAAATAAAGAATGATAAATTAAGTTGATTGTACGATTGAAATGAGAATGATAAATTATGTTGATTGGACTGAAGCAATCGTGAATCACTCTTATGGTTATTTGTCTAGTATTTTGGTTTGAATGTGGA